TGAAAAAGTTACCAAAGTAAAAATGACAATTTTTGAATGAAAAACAAGTTTTCTTTTTATAAAAATTACATTTTTTTTAAAATACAAGATCCTTTTCAATGTTGTTATATCCTGGTAGCAACAAGAAATTTGGCTTTTTTTTTTTTTGCCAGAGACTTCAGCTTTCAGTCCAATGAGTTAGTAGCAAATTCCACTAATATTTCAGTTGGATCTTGAACTATTTTTTATACCACAAGCTTCTTCTGTTTTATCCTTGAATTAAGAATATACAGCCTTTTTCCCCCTGATATTTATGCTGACACACTAAAACAAAAAGCAATAGGCTGGACACATTAAAGTATCTCAAGTACTTCAGAGGTCAGAGTTCCTTTGAAGCACCTTAACACATCACTTTATGAATCAAGGACAATGTGGCATAATGGAAGTATTTCTCTTAAGAGACTTTGCAGTAAGACCAGAAGTATCTCTGCTGGGAAATCAAAATGTCATTAGTGGAAACTGCAAATTTAGACCTCAGTGAATGTGGTTGTCATTTGACTCAGTTCTGTTGTAAAATGAGATTTTCCAGTTCATCTGCAGAACGCAATAAAAATGCAGCTGATTCTCGATATCCTGCAACAAGCTGTCTCACAGCATTGATTTCAGTTGGACTCAGCTGGGGTCTGGAGTTTGAACTGCTGGAGGATCCTGAGCTGGTCGCCAACTGCCTCTTCATGCTGAGATCAGTGGGTCCTAGGGAAAAAATCATAACAAAATCAGACATGAATAATATTTTTTCTAGCACCTTGGATGTGAGCACTCAATGAATTACTGTTGAATTAATTCATGAAGTCTTTCATGAGAAGCTAGCGATATCTTCAATCAAATACATCTGCTCTCAGTAAGAATAAAGAGCACTGTGATGCTGAGTGGCTGGGGATTTCTCTCTGATGCCCTGGCCAGCCTCTGGCAATCACCTCTTACCATGGAAAGATGGTGACAACCTTCTTTGACCATGTGCTTTTTGGAAAATTCAATTTTAAGTCTGTCTTCCACATGTTGTAGCATAAAATGATGAGAATTACAAACATTTTTCATTTGCTGCATTCATTTACAGATATTTTAAACCCCACCAATACATAATTTTTAAAAAATCCTAGATTGTGATAATAATGACTCTAGAGTACACATTAGTCAATTTAGCAAGAAGGAATCTGAGGGACTTTAGTAACACGTTTAAAGTTTGACAACTTAAGTGGCACAATAAGAAGTTGACTTAGATATTTTTTCATTTCAAGCACGTTAGAATTTGCTTTAGAAGTATAATAAGTGATTAGTGTAAACAGTA